GAGTAAATAAGCAAAAGCAAAGTAGAAACAAAGTTTTTGTTTGTGGTCTGACTTAAGAAAAAGACGATAATTCTGCTGCAAATTCATTAAGAAACGTGGAAGGTTTGGATCAAGTCGTAAAAGAAAGAGCTCCAAGATCACCTTCTTATTTGCGTCATGATTTTTAACCAAATACATACAAGTAATATATATATACTAATACATATATATATGTATTAGACTATATGCTGTTATGCTGTTACTATATGCTGTTAGTTGATACAGTTATAGACAGAAAATTGTGGAAGTTCTTAGTTTTTAAGCATTTAATGAAAAGGAGAGAAAAACTGATTTGTCAGTGTTTGACCTTACAAATTAAAGACGATTAGGGAAAAAAAAAATATGTACTTATAAGTGCATGTGTAGTTAAATGCTGTGAATTTACTTCATAAACTTTTATTTCATAAAATAACTTTAAAGTTTTATATTTAAGGTAAAAACTATTCTCCAGATCCATATGTAAGTCATGATGGGAAGATTAATACTAAAATAATTTCCACAGTTCATCAGAGAAATAGTAATGATATTATCATCCTCATAAACAGTTGATAAAATAAAGACATTAAAAAACACAAAAGAGTAATAAGAAAAAATCTCGTCAAAGAACTAGAGAATAAAAGTTAGTTTAACACAACATATCAGCTAAAACCTGTATAAAAGAATCAAGGCTGCTTTTAGTAGACGAGCAGAACTGCTGGATTTAACCAGTTTTATTTATTCATCTGGATGTTCTCCACAGGGAGTACGGTGCAGGAAGGGAAAGTTTATAAGGAGATTATGTTCCTTTCAGTACCCGTTTAAGGATTCGCGGGTCGTTGCATTTGGCCAGCTTTCCGGCGAACAGTTGAACTCCAAAGCTTGCGAACACCAGCATCAGCGTGAGAAGCAGAATGGAAACCTGAGAGACAATTATCCAAGAGCAGAAAAAGCTGACAGAGTCCGACTCCGGACTGTTAAATCAAAACCGCAGGATTTTGAAAAGCTACACTCGACCACTAACCAGGAAAATCTCCTTGAATCCTTTAAGAACCTCCCGCACAACCTTCCTCATCTGAGGAACCAGCTTGAAGATCCTGAGCGGGCGGAGGCAGCGCAGCATCATCAGCAGCTGAGCTCCAGACTCTGGAGGGATGTCAGTAGGAAGCCAGCAGAGGAAGATCAGACTCACCTGCAGTGCGGAAACAAAGCACAGCAGAGAGACTTAAAAAGAAACCTTATAACACCTACACTAAGGGAAACAGGATAATGATATTACAATAACACAATAGAGTGCCTTAGGATAAAAGTTTTTTGTGATTAGATGGTAAAAACACAACTATGTAAATGTCTGCAAGTCTAAACAATAGTGTGTACACATATGAAAAAGGAGACGGCTGAAAACCTGCATTAAATTGAAAAATATAACAACATTCGATGAGTCAAGGCATTCTTCGAGTCTTATTTCAGGATTCCAAGAATTTTTTTAAATTTGAGACATTTCCAAACTCTAATTTCTAGCTATGGTAGATTTGAATTACACAGTAGTCGAGTTTTATCATCTGGATGTTCCACAAGTCGGGATAAAAACCTCAATCTGGCTTCAGGGTCATTTTATTTGGGCAGCAGCTCCATTTCAAAATCTACACCAGTGGGACTTGGAAAAGTCATGATATCAATTCTGATTGAAAATCTACCACTGCAAACATGACCACAGAATAGCTCCATAAAAACAAATCTCATCCTTTATTGAGTAGGTTAAATCCCAACACCAATTACAATAAAGTATAGAAAAATTGCATTAAATCCCATTTTGAAACCTAAATGCAGCATTTACTTATTGCTACAGCAGAGAAATATTTCAAACAGCAAAAGTATCAATCCGAATCATCCGGTTATTTTGGGGGAGGGGGGATTTACAAATATCCTAAATTGGAGCTTATTTTATTTCATTTTTTTTAGTTTGATTAATTCTTATCAATTCTTGTCTGCCACTCATCGACACTTCAAGGAATGTTGGTGCGAGAACTTAAAGTAGAATTCTACGAGGAAATAAAGATGCTAAACAACGACAGAAAAACAACTCCTGACGAATGTTTAAGCCGATGGGCAGAATTATACAACATCATGAGTTTATTTCGTTGTTTTTCGTGAATCAATATTGCAAAGATGCCAAAACAGAGAGAGCGGCAACATCTTTCTTGTGCTTTTACTTTCTTTGAAAAGTCTACATTAGCACTGTCATATTTTTCTTTTTAAAAGAACTCAGAACTCTGGTTTTCTCCCCATAGTAAACTTTTTTTTTTTTTCCCCCACCTCAGAATCATATCGCTTATTACATTTCTTACAAGATAGATGAAGATGTCCATCACTCCTCCAAAGTCCCGGATAATGGCCGTCGGAGTGAAGAACAGACCGTCGGCCATGATCTTTAGGTTGAGTTCGATGCTCATGAATATCACAAACACATACTCCCCGATCTGAAACACACGTCCTGATTACGGCGACATCTGTTCCCCGGCGAATCTGCCCGTCGACACCATGTGACCGACCGTCCATCTGGGGTTATAATACCTGCAGAGTGGGGACGTGCATGACCCTGGTGAAGGGTGATTCAAACATCATGGAGATGCAGGAGCAGATGGTCACCACGATCATCACCCAGTCCAGATAAGTGACTAAGCCCAGAAGATCACTGCGAGGACAGACACATCGGCAGCAATTCATGAGCTGGTTTTCAAAAAGCAGATGTGGGATTTTAATTAGCTTACAGTTCGGCTATTAGCATGTGGCTGAAACACTGGATACGATGCAAATTAATTCACAGAACAGTAATTTTACTGTCTAGTGTGCTACGCTCACTTTGATTCTGATAGAAACTGTGCTTAGCCCTCCTCTTTTTATCACGTACTTTTAAACACACCGCAAGTCATTCATAACTTGTGGCAAATATTAGCAATTGAAACTCAACATTTCTGTCAATTGTGTTACCGATTACATCAAGAGTAGGGAATTCCTGACCTTTGAACCCAGTGTCCCACATGGTTTATATGTATCACCTCGACAAGACATTAGTCGAATGGTTGCATATTCTCAGCTTGTGCGGGAGCCTGCTAGTGGCTTATTTATTTATTTATTTCCCCAGAGGAAACCGTGGATTTGTTTTTATGCTAATAAGTACATACATATGTAGGGAAAATTCAGGTAAAGTGAGCTTGATTAAAGAGGAAAAAAACCCAAAACATCAATTGATGTATCTGCAGACTCAGTAACAGATGCAGCTTTTCTGAACTTTGTTTCACAATGAGTAAGATGTAATGCATATGAAGCACTAATCCGAACACCTGATGAACAATTATGAGCCACACTTACTACAGCTGATGGTATTTGGTGTTCTTCACTGCTCCTGTTATCGGGTCAGTTTTTGATCTGGGTGTGAAAGACGACGAAACAGAAAAAAAAAAATACAACAACGTTGTGGTTTTACAGTGTATTTCACAGGTTTACATCACCCTGAGTCGGTCATTTAATGCAGATCAATTATTATCATTGATGTAATTTTGCTTCCAAAAGAAACTGGACACGGAAAAGATATCAGCAGTCGGATATTTGTTATGTGTTTATTTGGACGAATCTTACGCATTGAAGCGCGCCCGGACGATCATCCTGCAGAAGTTCCTGAAGCGATGCTCTCGACCCACGATGAAAAGAGGCTTATCAAAGTAAGGATGGTTTTCCCTCAGCTCCTCCTCCTGAACCTTTCTGCTCAGACAAGAGTTGAGTGGCAAGCAGATAATCATGCAAAGGGATTACAAGGTAAAGAGCACTGTGGATTTATTTATTTTTTTTTAAAGGTTCTCTTTGCTGTTTAACTCTTTTTCCCTGCAAATACCTCTTCATTTCTGCCTGTTCTTTCTTTTCTTGGATCATCTTGATCTCACTGTCCTCCCTCTGAGCATTGCGGTAGCGCACTGTGCTGGAATGCTGGGGGAAAAAAAAAAAAAAAAAAAAACATAGCATAACACACCTTTAGATTGAATTACCATCACTCTGTGTAAAAACTAACGGCATAAATACATACTTGTATGCAGTGTTTTGCTCGTAATTAAACGCAAGCACGCATTTATTTACGACGTAACCGTTTTGGTACTAAAAACAACAAAGGAGGAAAAAAAGGGAAACAAATCGGATGTGACTCAGGATGTGTGCTTACGTCCTGGGTGAGCGTTTCCAGCGACTTCCCCCGGCTGATCCTCTGACTGGTGGATCCATGTCGCAGAGACCTGAGGAGACGGTGAGCAAAGATGAGGAGCGTTCACGGCTCAATACTGGGCGTCAACAGGAATACATGCCAACTTAAACGTGTGCCTGTGTGTGCACGTGTCAGACCTGCGCTCTTGTCGTATGTGGTGCTGCACACTAAGTATGGAGCGCTCTTTGGCTGGCTGCCCTTCAAAAGATCCACTCAGCATCCGCTGCCTGGTGCAAGCCCTGGGAAACAAGACAACAGTTTTCTTAGTACCAGTCGAAAGGCGGTAAAAAAAAAAAAAAAGAATGCCTCTTTGTTAAAAGGATCACAAAAGCATCATAAGCCACAGTGGTGGCAGCATCATGCTTTGGGGTTGTGTTTCTCCATCTGGCAGACAAAGATGATTGGATATTACTGAACATCCAATCATCTTGGAGGTTCAAAAGAGACATGCAAAAAGACTTCAGACTGTGACTAAACGTGCTTCCGCTGCATGAAGCTTTTCTGGATGTTTACTGGGGTAGTTTGTCTCTCCGCTGCATTTCTACTGCAGGACAAATGGACAGCAATTCAACCTGAAAATGAACCTGGTCTGAATAAAACACACAAATAAATACTGTAATGTGACAAAATGTGAAATAGTTTAAATGGGTCTTATTACTTTTGAAGGTGCTTTGTATTGTTTTGACACTTTAAGGGTTAGGGCTTCTTTTATGTGTGAGAGAGGGCTCTAATAGTTTCAAAGAGCCAGAGGAGAGCTAACGAGATGATGGGCATCGGCACTGTGCAACACTTTGTAATATTTATAGCAACTCGGAGGGATTACTTGTTAATTGGTCATAAGCACGGATGAATGGCTGCTGCTTCTGCTACAGAGTGTGAGTTTGCATATGTCGGTATTTGGGTCTAATTGCATGCTCGCGTGGAAGATGGCGAGCCAGACAGAACGTGTTATGACTCCTGATCTGCTGTCCGTCTCTCAGACAGACAGAACATTTGGGCTGCGCAGATTGGACACAGTGTTTGCAATCTAATCTGCACTTAGTGCCGTCTCTGCCATGCTGAACAGCAAATTATCCATTTACTTCTTTGCGACAGTAAATGAGTCTGAAGTGGCACTGAGTGTGTAGGTGTGTGTATATATATATATAAAAAGTGAGAAACGTTGACAAGCGGTGCTGCTGGTGTGACAGAGCTACGTCTGATGCGTCTACAGCGATGATCAGTCTGGTTCTAATTTCGCGTCTATGCACCAACGCAGTGGTTTTAAGAACAAAGAGCCGGTACGGGAAGAGAGAATGAATTGTAGCGCTTTTGATATAATTTGAGGATCAGAACAAAAATGTGTTGTAAGAAAAAACTTTTCATTTTTCACAAAAGTAAGCGGATATAGCTACAAATACAAAGGGTAAGTTTTATTCTAGGATAAAATTAGATTTTTGCACATGTGCACCTTCTATCGCCGGACTCTTTCAAATGCAGAAATACCTCCTTTGAGAATGTTTTTTTGTCCTTTGTTTATTTGTTAGAACCACCATTTTGTTCTAACAAATAATACAGGTCAGATGACAAATTTGGTCATACCAAAACTTTTTCTTTTACAAAACAGTTCTGGATTTGCGTTGTGTCATGAGCCATCTGTGCTGCAAAGTGCCACTGGATTAATCGTTGCAGTTTTTGACTAAACTGGAACAGAATGTTCAAATAAATCTTAATAATTATGCCAGAATTATCACGTCGTTGAGCCTCGTCCTCCTCCGTTGTTGCAGATCTAATCTTTGCTTGCTTTAGGCATCTTGGTAAAGAGTCAAATACATTTTCTTTGTGTTATTTTGTTAAACCTGGTCTGAACTCTAGGCTAAATTCTCTGCATTCAAGTTAATAAAAAGTTGTCTTACTGATTGGCTTCATTAAAAACAAAATTCATTAAAAATAATAAGAAAAATAATAATCTACATATTCTTAAAGTTTCCTTCAAAGAAAACAATCTAAACTTGAATTATCTTACATTTTTTCAAGGTCTATTAGTACCTCCACTACTACAGGCATCTGTATGCACATAGAAAGTTCCTTTAAAAAATAAAATACAAATGCAGCCAACTGCTTTCTTTTAACCTTTTGACAATGGGCACTGCAAAGACAAGCCATAATCCCCAAATGACATTTACTTTACGAGGTTAACACTGTGTAGGAGTCAATCTCTTAAAATTATTCTCCCACAGCTGATGAAAACTCACACAAAGTAGGTTTTTTGGGAAAAACATTGTAAAGCCAAAATTTCACGATGTAATGATCAATAAACATTCGAGTAAAGCATCACATCATAACACCAAACCTCACACCTACTGTGGTGACAGGGGTGTGTCTTACCGTAGGATTTTATTGATCGTCGTCTCTTTCTCCAAAAGGTTGCGGGCACGGATGCTAAAAATTGATCTGCGAAGCTGAGAGAGCGAAGCGTGAGTGGGCATGAGCTCAAAAGTTTGATAATTGTGGCAGATCATATAAAAAAAAAAAAAAAAAGCTTGCCAAATGCATAGCTGCAGACATTGTGTGGGAGTTACTGAGGGACATTATCAAGGTTGCTTAACAGCCTTAATGCCTTAAGTCTACACTTCTCTGGACTCTAATGATCATAGATGGATAGGAAACTATTGCATTGGTGGAACAATTAAGCAATGGGACTGCATTCTAAATATCCTATCCGTACATATCCTTACTTTTATTAGACAGATAGGAACCCCCTGGTTGGAATCTATTCTATGTGGACACAGAACATTCATCTTTACATGCCTCTAAAGCAGCCTCTATATGTGTCTCTGTGTGTTTGAAAGAAAAAAATAAAACAATAACAGAGAGAGGGGAGGACCTGATGTGTAATTAGAAGCAGCACGTGTAGCTACCTTTTGGTCAATATACTTGTTGTCCTCAATGGCTGATCGTTTGGAGTGGTCACAGGAGGAGGACGAAGCTGAGGGGAGACGGCGGAACAAACAGCTGGTATCCTGCTGCTGACGATCAATAAACTGCTTCATAAAACTCTCTCTAGAATTCACAGCAAACACAAATAACAACAGTGATGCTTACAGCGGTTTTACAACTCGTGGCAGTCGCATACAGCGGTAAGGAAAATGGTCACAGATTTATTAAAAAGGACTAAACTGTGTTAGAGCAAATCCATCTGCAAAATACATCAGTGGAAGCTGCTGCTGCAGAAGCCCAACATATGGGCTGCTGAGGGAGTGCTCTCTATACCGAGAGGAAAAAAAAAAAAAAAAAATCCAGCTGTGCACTAATCACTAACTTAATAATACGACTTATTATGAAGTCTGCTGTGCTGGATGGAATTCAGCTCCCCTGCTAAAAGCTGTGCGACAAATGGGCCTCGATGTGAATGATTTTCTATCCGCACAGAGACGATATGAAATATTTTCCCCTTTTCTTCCTTATTTTACATTAGGCAATATAATGTTGGACGGCTTTGGGGAAGTGGTGGCAACGTTTGCTCATTTTTTTCCCCAATGTGATGTAGTTTGAACTACTGGAAAATAAATTATAATATAGAACTCATATATCCAATGAATGGACAGTCTAACACTTGAATATGCTCCAGATCCAAACCATTTCATTTTAGCTTTAAACACTGGGTAATCCTGGTATGCAACCTGCAGAGGATACAAAAGATTTGAGACTGTGGTGGATGTTCGCCTTCCAGCAGGACAACAACCTGAAGCGTGCATTTAAGTCCCTCTCTCTTCAAGTCTTCAAGTTGAAACACCTTCCGTTTCGTGTTTCATAGAAAGGATGGCGTGTTCAGCTAAAATTTCAGATTTTATTTCCCCAAATTGTATTTATTTTTAACAGGGACAGTGTAATGAACAGACACAGGGTATTTGTAAATGTGTCAGATTATATCCCAAAGCTTCTTTCCATCTGCTTGCATAAATACCTACAGGGATAATGTTGTCATTTTCATTTTGATGTATTAAAGTAAACAGATTTGAATACATTAACAATTTTAATGCAATTAATTGCATTTTTTTCTTTTTTTACATTGAAAAGAAATAAAAATGAACCGGAACCTCTGAATTGTGTTTCTGGTACACCCGTAAATCTGACGCACAAGCGACGTCTGCAAACAATAGCGACTGACGAGAAAGATTAGAAACGTTAAATATCTTTGTTGTTGAGTTCATATGTCTAGTTATTCAATAATTTAGCAGCAAAAGGGTTTTTGATTAAAATTAGATTAAATGCATTTTTAGCAAAAGTTTTAATTGAGTCCCACCACTAATACTCACACAACATAAGTCTCTAGAAACATGGCAAAAGGCACACACAAACTGATGTAATACAGCTTGCGTGTGCATAATACAGCAGAAAAAGTGACCCAATTGAATATGATTAACAAATGCCAAAACTTCTATTGAGCATATATAACATGATTATGAAATCTATGCATGAAAACCTATTGGACATATTCAACGTTAAAACCCTCCTGGCCACGAACTTGCCGCACATCGAGACATTAAGACTTTTGTGCCCACCTATTCCACATAGCCACAAGATGGGTGTTGGCTGGCATGTAACCAGAATAAAATATAACTAGAGTTTTTGATTGCAACAAGACATCAATGTGAAAAAGTTAATGTTAACATTTTTTGTAAGACGCTGTATCCGTCCCCGTGATGGAATACCTGATTCTGGGCACAGTGAAATCAGACGGGAGCTTTGAGATCTTCACCATCTGAGGTCTGTTGGGGAACTTTTCAAAGATCCTGAGTCGTAAAGGGAGCTTCTCTTTGGTGTCTGCGTTGGCTTCGCTTTGCTTGAGCTGACGGGAGAAAAAGAGTGTGGCGTGTCAGCTCACATTCAGAGCAGAACAAGCATGAAAAGCTTCTGTAAAATGGTGAAATCAACCTTGATGACGCAACCACTGCGAGGAGAAGAGAGGGATTTAAACAAGATACAAGGGGAGAAAGGGACAGAATCAGCTCAAGTGTAAGACAGCAGGAACATTTGGGATTTTTGAAAAACTCAAATTATCCTCGGTACGTATGAATAATAAAAAAGAAACGAAAAAAAAAAAAAACAAGTCTGGCAGAGAGAATTTCTCTCGGTTGTAAAGGTGCAGCTTTATTTCTCTGCCTGATGATGGCAGCAACATACTTACCTACAACACACACATCACGTACATTACAGACAACCACACAGAGGATGAGATCCCACTTACTTTTCATAATAGGGGGAAGATGGCAACAAAAGAAAAAAAAAGAGAGATTACTTTGGAGTGGTTAATGGAGAACAGAAAAAGGAAGCGACAGAATAATGTGCGTGTGCGCCCTGGCACACAATGGTGGAATAAAAAGATGACAAAGGAAATGAAACCAATTATTTTCATTTAATTACTTATGGGGGAGGCTGATTGAAATTCCCTTGCAGGTGTTCAGTGTCTGGGTGCCTGGAGATATCCCATGATGCATTGCTGATTAGGCCTGAAAGTGAACTAAATTTAGAGCAATAGTGATTGGCGGCATATCGCTCAGAGAAGGTAACAGTCGGGGGAAAAAATACTGAGTGGACTTAATGAATGTCTCTCCCAGTAAAAGTTCTGTGCAAAATGATAATATTTGTGTACGGACGAATTTCTCTGCACTTATTTGATTTCAAGCTACCGAGTGAGAGTGGAGTATACCTGCGAGCGGGAAGGAGAGACATTAAATGAGGAAATGAAGGTCTGTCGATCGGATTCCTGCTTCTAGCAGACAAGAATGTGGGAGTTTCTTTTTTGCCCTGAGTGGGTGAGTGGCACACTGCGAAGATGGACTTATGCAGCAGCATCTGTCTATATTTCCGTCTATATTCTGGCTGCAGAGCTACAGGCATGGTGTAAGGAGATGAAGACAGAAATTAAACTTGGTGAACAGAGTCACAAAAAAAAAAGAAAAAAAAAGGTCTTAGACCTTACCACTGGCTCAAATAAATGTTAATAGGTTTACTCAAACAGCGCAGTAAATATAACAAAAAAAAAAAAAAAACAATCTTGTCTGTCATTGTCTGTTGGTTGTAATGCTTCTTTACCTATTGGACTTTTAGTACCGTAGTCCAGACAGCCCTTACCTACTGGAACAGCATTTTCCCATAACATTATGTGTCACGGTAAAATTTAATCCTAAGCAGCTGATACTGATGGACATACTATTTGATCACCAGCTAAGAAATGGTTTCCACAGATTATTTTGATCATAGTTGAAACATTTGGCACACTGGCATTAACAATCTGAGACGATCATGGTAGCCCACACATGTGCAATTACTGCTATTACTAGATCACAGACACAGTAGCAACTTTATATTATTAGTCGATCTGTAAATATTAATTTACATTCATATGACAATTCTTTGCAGCGGCTCCAATTGATAACAGCCCGACCTATTTTCTTATCCATTCGGAAGCTGCACATAATCTAAAATACGTGACAGGACTCTGTGGTTCACAAAAAGTAAAACAAGTTTCCAAACCACATACAATCACAGCAGGATAGGAAACATCAGGTATCACAGCAGCTTCAGCTAATGTATTCTGTCTTCACATGCAAAGTCTTATGCCAGATCTCAAAAGCTGTGCACCCCACAGGCTGAAAAGAGGGAGGATACAGCAGCTCAAACAATGGAAACATTTTCTTCCAGTGTAATCACTGACTGGATCATCAGAACGTCAAAATGCAATGGAACAACAATGCAAGCAACGGCTCTTGGTATCTCATAAAATCTGAAGAGTATCCATATGTTCAAGCTCAGGGAGCATTTAGGAGGCAGAGGACAGAATATGTCCCTCTGCCTGACTGTTGTTTTGTTTCAACAACCAACCCAATTTAAACTAAATATATTCCAAAAAAAAAAAGGATTTGGCAGTCTTCCCACTGACCACTGAAAGCAGTCACCGGACCCCCGCATCCATGCAAGGATTAAGCAAGTGTAGAATATGGATGGATGGGTTTAGCATTGGGAGCAGCCATGGCCAAGCTGCAGAAGAGTGACATAAATGTTCCAAAATAAAACTCAACTAGATTGCATTTTCAGGTTTCGAAGTGCTTGTCTGAGAACATTGTATTATGCATGCGTGCAGGATCTCTCGGGCTAATGATTGTATGCCGTCTCCTCCAGCAATGACATACATTCAAGGGTTATCGAGTACTTTGATCTCTAAACAGATGGACCCAGCCAGAGAGAAGTGAGGAGCAGAGTCAAGAGGATCACTCTGTGCCATAACGTTAAGTGCCTTGATGTAATGCAAACCAATGGTTAAAATAAAAGCCGCTCTTAAACTGTCTAAGATTCTAAATAAATAAATAAAAAAAGAGAGAAAAAAATGTCATGCTTCGGAATGCTGAGACGCTTTGCACCTCCTCACCTTACGTATATATGCATTTTTAAAAACGCTCTCCGACGACGAGTGCCATGTCTGGAATTGATGTTGTTCCGTTTCATACTATCAAGGCTCTTCACTGCTGCTGCTGCCCCTGTGCCATCATGCTGAAATTAGATTTCGAGCAAAATTATGGGCTTATTTGTTCTACAGTCCTGATCTAGAAATGAGGCAGTAATTTTAAATGGTACCTCTACATTTGGGAGCAGAAGCAAAACACACAAATAACAATCAAGCACACATACCCCGTTTCCCCCCAACCCGCACACACACACACACACACACACACACACACACACACACACACACACACACACACACACACACACACACACACACACACACATTAATTAAAATTGCTCTCCTTCTCCAAAAAGTCATGATCAATTCTGCCAACTCAGAGAAAGAAACCCTTTATCTTCAGGAACGTTCCAACCCAGCCAAGCTTTTCGTGTCGTGTGAAGTGTTGTTTCAAATTTACTGCAACCATCTTTTTCCCTAAGCTTCCAGTTCTCTAAAAATGTCAGCTTCTATCGTTGCTTTTATTTTTTTCCTCACAAAACTTTAGAAAGCATGCATTCCCAGATATCATTTTGGGGGCTTTTACTACCTTTGATCTACATGGGTCTTTATTTCCAGATAGCACAAACATTGCACAAAAAAAAAAAAAATGTTATGTGCCAATATTATGTTCACCAAGTACAAGTCTGCTGCAAAAGGGAATAAAACATACACAACAGAACTTCTTTATAAAGTTCTTTGTACAATTGGCAAAGAACTTTATGACGCATATTCAAGACAGATACTTACTCAAGACCCGTTTTAAGAAATGTTTCTCACCTGTAGCCCCAGTGCTTAGTTTCCACAAGGTTTACAGACATTACAGTAACATATAAAGATTATGTAACAACACAGTTGAAAGATTTATTCCCCAATAAACTGGCTTTATGTTTAAATGTTACTCCCTTCTTTTACACCCCTTAAAACCTTTTGCATTTTGGCATATAACAAAGTCACTATATCCTGTATGAAATAATGCTAATCTGTTCAGTCAAAGAGAAAATGATACATGGTTCATAAAGTTTTTTAAACAAATAAAAATCTGAAAAGTGTGGTGTGCATTTGCACACAGGCTCCTTTAATCTGAAACAGCCAAAATCAAACAAAGTATAACCTGTGACACTATACTGGGAGTATCTATTCTCATCTGACTGAGCTTGAACTGTTTCACAAAAACTAATTTGTCAATTTAAATAAAATATATTACCGATCATGATGTGCTCGTAGTCACCTTGTTGCACTCAGCATGAATAATAATAAAAACTAAATGCTTATAGTGCTGAAGATATGCTCTGCATAGCTCATAAAAACTGTTCTTTTAAAAAAAAATCCTTGTGTCCCGTATTCATATAGAAATTGACATACAATCTTGCTATTGAAGAAAGCACATACATAGCAGAAGTAGCGTCAGACAGAAGAGCTGCCTCCAGCTGGATAATCTGCCTTGCCACATAAAAACACAATCACTAAAGTCTAAAGTATCGTTCTGTCTCACTGACAGAAATAATAATACGATATTTCCCGCTAAGTTTTAGAATTAATGCATGCTTCCAAGTGTATATGTGTATTTTCTAACCACATGTTTTGCATTACAGTTGTCTACTCAAATCAGGAGTTTTATTTCTCTTGGAATCACCAGCGAAAAGCCGATAAAACCCGAGTACGACATTTCCTGCCATCGAAGAAATTCCAAGTGCAGCGGCGCAACAATGGAAGCAAGACTAATGTGTTTTGCCTTAAGACTCACTCAGGTGAGTGTCCACCACTTCCCCCTCCATTTAAGCCAATTTCAGGCTCCGCTGAGCTAGGAAGCTCTTCATTCAGGATTTTTCATGGATTTTCAGACCATGACTTGGGTGGCGCTGACAAACACTAGCCATTAGCATTGTGCCAAATTCAGTAAGGGCGAAAGGTCAGTAGGAAAATGTGGGTTTGATAAAAGCAGCCATGATTAGAGAGAACACAAAAAAAGAGGCTGGAAATTTATATTGAATATTGTGTAAAATTTCAATTTTACAACTTGGACCCAGAATAATAATAATAACATCACTAACTTTTATTTATCAGATGACAAATATGTGTGTAAGTGAGTAACTCTATTTTTCAGAAAGATTACGTCAATTGGATTTTAAACTTTTATTATGAAGGTCCAAAGATGCTATAGTTCACCAGCTAAATAATAATGTACAACTTTAATGTGCCCCCAATTGTTTAAAAATAGTAATCCAACATGTAGATAATTTATTATATATCTGTTAGTAAAAACATGCATTTTGTTTCAAGGAAAGAATATTCTAATTATTTAATGTCAGTTTTGTGCTGAAACACATTATGTGTTTTTTTTGTTTGTTTTTTTTTGTACATGGATTCGGCATGAAAAGCCACCGCTGATCCTTTCTATATAATTTGTCAGAAGTTGACCCGCTGTGCAAATTAACCAACCAGATGCTGCAAACTATTTTTATTATTAAACTTTAATTTGATTTTTTTTTTCATATGCATTTAGTTTT